CTTTCACTGAAGGGGTTCAGTACAGGTTTGGCCTCTGTGTCATGATGTGCAGGGAAGAACATACTTGATTGTCTGCACAAGTTACACAGCTAAATTTGACTTGAGCTGCGGTTAAACTGCACGTGATGTGGATGACGCGCCGACCTGTCGAACGGCGGTTTTGCGCGGCGGTTTCAACGCGGGTTCAAACCGCCAGGTTGGAACGTACATGTGTAGCGGCCTTTACTGTGGGAATATGTTCATCTTTACTCAGGTGGCCTCTGTTGTTTTGATGTGCTGTTGTTTTCTTCCTCAAGCGAACAGGTTTTTTTGCGGGTGGTTGGAGGGGGACTACTGTAAGGTCCTACTTCTTAACTTTCCCTCTGCTGTTGCAGTCTGTCTGTCTGACTTTTCCCTAGCACCAAATGACCATTATTGCGCCGACGTGCTTCTCTTTACTCAGACAAACAAGGTTTTTTTTCACCTAAGATGTGCTTTGCAATGAAAGAGTTGGGGGGGGGGGGGTAGATACTGTCTGTAAGTTGAAATGAAGAGCTCTGTATTTTTAGAAAGATCTCACTGAAAATGAAGTTGTCTGACATTCGCGATGGAATTTGACTTTTGTATTGATTTATTTTTACTCAACTTGAAAATGAAATGCTCGGGGAAGTAGGAATTAGAAAATTGACCTATGAAATCACCCTTGTGGGGTTAAATCAACAGGACTGACTGTTTTTTTAAAAGTTTATGCACATGTACATAATTGGTCTAGTACTAGTAAACAGTTGAATTAAGTGGAATCCAAAACAGTGAAATACAGAGGCGCCCACTTTCACCAAACGAGCTCAATCAGAAAACAGCGGTACATGTATACGGAAAGAAAACAAAAATCCCGATTTTGTCTTCGCTATTTGAAAAATCTCTTGTTGGAAGAACTTAATTGAGGAATGAAAAATAAAGATTTTGGGAGCTATTTGGGCATTTTAGATTACTGGAATTACTCAGTACTCAACAGGCATTTTTTTTCTTCTCAACTACCAGTGCAAGTCTACTTCTTATGTTGTGAGGTCGTTGTTCAACAGTAGAATATCGTGCATGTACTGTGGAGTCGAGTCCGCTGAAACTGAACTTGGTTAAGCAGAAAACAGCCTTTTTTTCTTCCATTTGAGCAACCTCTTTAAAAAAGAAAAAGTACTTAGAATGTTGGGTTTAGACACTTATTTTGAATTTAGTTCTTGTGAGCTCCTGTCTTGGAGTTTTTTGGTGCTAATTTTGATCACTTTTAAAGTAGACCTAGTTCTCCTGTTGTAATGATGTTTTTGGAAAAGAAGCAATGAGTGAAACAGGCTGTCATTAAAGAGATCATCTGATATAGCCACCTTCTCCGCCTGTCTCTCAGTTGATCACACGAAAATCCCGATATGGGAGTGATTATGGATGGTTTTTAGCGGTAGTGTGAGTACATTTCTTCACCCAGCTTCTAAATGAGTACCTTGCAACAAGGTCAGATGCAGTATAGTGGGTGGTTGGCAGATGCTCTGTGGTGGTTTGCTTCTTCTTTCCTATCAAACGTCTATTGTCTTTATGTCCCCTCTCCTTTTTTGTGTTCGTTACTCTCTTGTAACAACCTCTAATCTCCGGCACTTATATGACCTTATTGTGCTGCAGGTGCTGTAAAACATGTACTAAAACAAAGATGCAGTATGTGTTGTGAGTAATGGCTGTAGACACACAATATGCTGCAACGTTGAACGTTTCTGTCAAAGATTTATGTGTGTGTGTGGGGTGGGGTATCATGGAAATCTGTGGGAGCAGTCCGCAAAAGGGGATGATACTTGAATTCATGTATGAAATAATTTTCTAAGGTGGTCAGTTTGGTTTTGAGTTAATTTGACTGGTGTAGAGAGCCCCAGTTTTGATTTTCTGTCTGTGTTTGGCGTTTGAAATGAATGGTTATATCCAGTGTCTTTGGTGTAATGGTGAGGCTCTTTGCCTGTTCATGCAGAAGACACCAGTTCGATTCCTCCATCTGTCTGGTGGGATGTCGTGTCCCACTCAGCCGGAGGGTCGAAGCTGCCCACCTTCTCAATGTTCTAAATTGTGTTGAAGGGGGCTTAAAACACTTACAATTACTAATCTGAATGACTGAATAAGTTGACCGTCATCTGGAACCTGTCTAAGTACAGCTAGTCGTTTATTGGGTAGATCCACCACTGTACGGTACTGTGAGTTTGTGGGGAAATGAAACTGTACATCTCTTGTGTGTGGGTTCAGTGCTCTTGTGTGGTCCGCTCCCTCTTTCTTATCAAACATCTATCGTCTTTTTCTCCCCTTCTTCTTTTTTATGTTTGTTACTCTCTTGTAATACCTCTAATCTTCTGGCGCTCAAATGATCTTATGCAGTTGCGAGCGCCGTAAAACCTCTACTAAAACTAAAACATCTCTTGTGTGTGGGTTAAGTGCTCTGGTGTGGTCTGCTCCTTCTTTCCTATCAAACATCTATCATCCTTATCTATCTCTCTTCCTTCTTTTTTTGTTTGTTACTCTCTTGTAACACCTATATTCTTTGGCTCTTATACGACCTTATTGTGTTGCTTGTGCCGTAAAACTCTTACTAAAACAAAAGCACCTCTTGTTTTATGTGGTTGTTGTTGTTGGCACTTGTGTGTGTAAATAAATTGTAGATTTCAGCCTGGTTTTTGTCTTTGCTGGGTAGAGAATGAGTGTGGTGAATCTTTGTGCTGGTGTGCGTGACAGAAGGAAAAGATTTTTTTGTGCTCATTGTACATATTCGTACCCCCATCCACATTCTTCCACGTCCCTTGTTCTATGTAAATGTACAAAATTACATGTACATGTCATTGCAGTTAGCATGAATGTAAACTTTGTGACGCTCCTTTCAAACAACTGTTGCAAATCAAGTATGCAAAAATACACTATTTTATTTCATATTGTTTTCAAAACCATTCATTAAATATTTTCTTGTACATATGAGAAATGATGGCGTTGTGTTGGTTCAGTTGATTGCAATGTGTGTGGTAGTTGCTGTGGGCTTTGCCTTGCTTCACGTCATTACTGTCCTTATCTCTGCTCCTTTTTTTCTGTTTTACAAGTTCCGTAAAACTCTTACTCAAACTTTTAAAAAATCTAAACTAAAGCAAAGCCAGCTGTCAATGAAAAAGGATGGTGCTGGAGGAAAGAAATACAAAATGTGCAAGTACAAGGAATGAAAAAAGGAACATTAGCAACAGCAACCCTAAAAAATCACTTTTTTAAATTTATTGAAACATTCTCTTGTATTCAACAAAAACTAATTTATCCTTGTTCTTGAGTACCAACAAGCCTACATGCGGTACTTTTTTTGTTTTTGAGGATTATCTGGTTTTCAAGAACAAGGATCAACTGGGAACTGAGATGGGAAGTATATGTATTGTGAAATTTCATGGATATAAAATCTGTTCAAACAATAAATTATGATATTAATGTAAATGTGGGAAAGGACAGGACAAAAGGATATACATATGTACATGTATAGAAGTAGAAATAGGACTAAGAAAGTGGCGATGGATGGGACACACCTTAAGAAAGCCCAGCGGAAACATCACAAAACAGTCATTGCAGTGGAACCCACAGGGAGCCTGAGGCAAGGGGTAGGCCACGGGAAACATGTAGGAGATGCGTGGAAAGGGACATGAGAGAGATGAAGCTCACTTGGAACGAGCTTGGAAGAATGGCCCAGGATAGAGATAAATGGAAGCTGCTTGTATGTGGCCTATACCCTGCGAGGAGTAAAAGGCTTTGATGATCAATGTAAAGTCATGGCTTAAAGTTCAAGCAAGTTCAAGAAATGCACTGAAGAAAGTACAATCGGGCACAGATAAATTGAACACGTATGTCAGGAATTTACAAAGGTGTTTGACACATCCAGAATTTGGGTTGACCGATAACGAAAAATGAAAGAGATACATGTAATAGTCAAATAATGGCACATTGTACGAGTTATCCATGATTTCAAGTTTACTGCGTTCATGTTATCTTTACCAGACTGTAAAACTTTCTGTTGCATACATGTAGTAGTCATGTCAGTGGCAGATGATTGCAATAATTCTGTATAAAAAATAATATTTATCACATTATACTGTCGGTGGTTTGCGGGTGCCCTGGTGTGGTTTGCTTCTTCTTCACTATCGCTCTTATCTCCCCTCCTTTTTTAAGCGCTGTTACTCTCTTGTAACAAAGCTAGTCTTTGGCATTTATGACCTTCTTGAGTTGCAGGTACCGTAAAACTCTTACTAATACTAAACATCATAAAGTCCAATCTTTGAGTACGGGAGAAAAAAAAATTGTGGCATTGGTGATCTAGTAGTTAGGCTCTTGGACTCTTAACCATACGGTCGTGGGTTCGAATCCCGGTTTACTTTTAGAATTAAAGTAAGAAGTGCAAGTGGTGAAAGTTACACCTTGTGTAACACAAATCTGCTCTTACACATGACACTAGTCTTCAGGGTTTAAGCAGGAGAGGAACATCAACGCAACATGGTCATTTAGTGGGGACGAAAAGAAAGCCATACAGAAAGAAACAACAGAAGGAGAGGAGAAAAAAAATTGGAACCAACAAATGGAGCCTTCCTACTCCCTGACACTTGTCCTGTCTGTGACGAGTATGCGTTTTGACAAAACTGCATTAGACATGTCTGGAGGAAATTTGTTTAAAAAAATAAAGCTTTGATTTTCTGCTCATCATCCTCCAGTGCCAGATCTGCGACAGCATCGGCGATCATGGTTCTCCATTCATTCCTTTGCTCGGAAGCTCTCAAAAAAGCTACGTTTCCTTGATCTTTCCCTGTTATTCCATTTGTTCAGGTTCCCTTTACTAAGTAAATTAGATTTTCTGCTAAGTATTACATTTAGGACCAAAGCCAAGCAATGACTTTCAACAGAGGTGACTATTTTACAGAACAGATGACACCACAGGCAATCACATAGAGAAAACAGAAATACCTGCAAAGGTAAGTCGTGCGAATGATGGTAGCGTTATGTTCTTCACTTTTTCAACTGACACATGAAAAAAACAAAACAACCCTGATTTAAATGACGAGAGAAGAAACAAATGTTAGCCCACATCCCTTCTATATTATTTACAGTGCACATTGATTCCTGGCTTTATTTAGCACCCACAGATTGACCTCGTCAATTGTATTATTAGTATTAGCGAAAAAAAAAGTTGATCTATTTCTTCCAGTTACAGTTAAAAATACATCCGGAATTTTTCTAACCCCGTGGAAACACATGTGAGGGGACTTCATATTTCCGTAGCATACTGTCTAATGCATCTTGTATCAAGATTTTTATATAAAGCACAATTTGACATGCTAAAGATTTTAAAATATAAATACATTGTAAATGTTAAAGCAGGAGTGTATTACATTACAAAATACAGGACATTTCAGAATTATGGCAGATTTATAAATGAGCCGCAAAAATTAGCACCTCTGCAGCTTCTTTCATATAAGCTTTGCGTTATGGCAAGCCTCACTGGAAATGGAATGATTCTATAGGCTTATGCTGTTCAATGATTTTAACCCTCCTTGTCTCACGAGCCAATTGATTCAACTAAAAGTGTCATTCTGTGGTGTCCTGGCCGCTTACATCAACCGTACGTACAGTAGATTTCTCTTTGTGGTATTGCGACCGATTAAATCGAACAAAATTTGAGATTTCATTTTGGTGCATTTGTCTCATTTCGCCAAACCTTTCAACTCTTTAACAAATGAACTCTATTATTTCCTATTTATTCTTCTCTCTGAAAATGTTGTTTCATGGCCTTTGCTTGCTTGGTTTTCCTGCCCTCAAACATTTGCCAACATAAACCAGAGAAGTCATGTACTGCTATATACTTTCCTCTAACACCACAGGCTATTTGTTAATTTAATGACACATGGAGGGTTACGCTACTGGCCAAACTGATGAAAATCCTAGTCGAGGTTCCTTCCCTTCTTGTACAGATTTGTGTTCAAAGCTGTCACATGTAATACCAAAACCATTTGATTTTTACTTGATATCACTTTGCTCTACGACGTAGCTGAATTTGTCAAAAGCATTCAATTTAAGTTGCTCTTGAAGATAATTACATATTATTTTTCACTCTGGCGATGTGACTAGAAAATAAATTATAAATTATATAAATAACTTATAATATATTAATCCTGTTATCTGAAGCCATGCATTCTCCTCTGCCTTTTTTATTTTAGTGCAGGAACTTGAATCATCACAAGCTCAGTCAACATAACAACAAAGCAAACTGGGGCATAAAAAATTTTCATCATCGCTGGGAAAACATAAGAAACTCAACATGTAGCCGAGGCGATCAGATTGAGTCAATCAAGGTTCACGATCATTTCCCGTTTCCTCTTCGCCCTTGTAGATTCTCTGACTGCAGTATCGCCCCTGCTGGCACCGCTGGCACAAGTCTGAGCGGTGTGGCTTCTTCGCATCAATTTTGTCTCCAATTTTCTTTCTTGGGCGGCGTTCACATTCACAGTACTTGAACTTTGGATCTTCTGCAAGAATACATAAATATCGTCACTGGAACATGTTATTTTTCGTACCTAAAAAGTAATAATGAAATCAAAAATCTTTACGAGAATCTTCAATTGATGAGTATTGTGGGTATATATACAGTATAACACAAAAAGAGGTTGAACACAGAAGACTTGAAATCACGCATCTTGCGGTCCTGGTTTGTTTTTTCTTCTTCTTTATCTTTGTAAGATATCCCTCGAACTACCAAGGCCGGTCTCGAAGAATTCGAGCTATCCGTGTTATACTGTAATTTCATTTTTTGTGTGTTCACGTTTAAAATGCAACTGCAGGGTACAAGGATGCAATGTCATACAACGCAAGGCAGCGGTAATGTAAAGGTACATGCATTGTAATGGCAATGCAACGCCTGGGTGTTTATGAGAAATTATAAAAGGGCACATGATTATACACACAAGTAAACTACGCACAGATAAAGAATCACATGAAACACAGCAGAGTCTGCTTAAACCGGACACTTTTGATCCGGAAACAGATAAGCCAACAGAAAATAGAAGCCTTGATTTTTTTTCTTCGCTATTTGAGCAGTCTTCCTCTATACCGAAAAACTCGGCTAAAACGGAAGAATATCCGGCAGCCCCACCGATTTTGATTTAAGCAGACTCCACAGAAATGCAATAAAATTGCACAAACCTATTGATTTTCCATTTTCGTCTTTCATGAAGCGAGTATGTATCAGTCCATCGCAGTCGTCACATACACACTCACACGGGTTGCAGTCGCAAATGCTGCACCATATGCACTGGAGGTCAAAGGGAAACACCCAGGCATCCTCTTCCGAACATTTCTGACATCTCTGTTTGTACTTTACCTGTGGAGGTTTTAGTTGTGGAATGAGTTTTGCGGCACTTGCAACAGAAATAGGTCATATAAGCCTAAGTGCCGAAGATTAGAGAGTGACGTAAAAGGAAAAGGAGGAGGAGAGAGAAGGGAGGACGATAGTCCTCTGTGGAGGGAGGACACGTTTCATGTACATGACCGGGTGTGTCTGTGGGGGTCACCGTTGACTGAGTGGGTGAGTGAGAGGGGGGAGGAAGAGAGAGAGAGGGGGGGGGGGGAGAAAGAGAGAAAGAGAAAGAGAGACAGAGACAAAGACAGAGATAAAAACAGAGACAGAAAGAGAGAGGGTTTGTTCCTTAGAGTGTAGGGAAGCACATTGACACAATAAAGTAACTGCATTTGGTCTGAGTATAAAGTAAGACACACAGACGGAAACAACAAAAGGAATCAATACCTTGTCTTTACTCAGACTAACCAAACATTATAACAAAACACACAATCACAAACCACAATTACTACATGATGAACAAAAAGTACACAATGCACAATAAAAGTGCAAACCTCAATAATGCACAATACACAATAAATTTATGCAAAATGCACAATGAAAGCACGGTGAGCAGTAAATGCAAAACCCACAATGAATGCAGAAACCAAAATAAATGAATAAACGCTTTAAATGCACAATGTACAATAAGCACAATCCACAATAATTACACGTAATGCTTACTTTCAGGGTTCCAGCAATTGTGAAGACAAAGGAACTTTCCCATCTTCTGTGGCAGATTTTACACTGAAATTGGCCAAAGTAGCGATCTTCGAACCCTCTTCTCCGGCGTCCTTTCCCTTTTCTCCTTCTCCTTGAAGAGTCCTGGGTCAGATCCTCTTCTAAGATTCTGTCTGTGTTCATGTTTGTGTTTTTTCCCTTTTTCTTTCTCTGCCTGCGACGTTTTCTTTTCGACTTCTTTTGATCAGTTTCTTTTAGCTGCAGTGCTTCTGTCAGAATCCAGCAGCATCTTAAGATTCTGTGCGTGTAAAAGTCAAGATTTAGTCTTCGAGGATTTCCTTTGTTCAGGGGTTGTTGTTTTTTTCAATTTTAAATGTACATCAGATATTTTTACGTTTCCATCTACACAAACTCTTTTATAGCATCAGTAGAAGAACGACACAAAACCAACCTCTGTGGTGTAGCAGTTAAATCTAGGCATTTCACTGTCGCATGCAGCTGACCCGAGTTCATTTCCCGTTGTGGGGAGGATTTTTGTCAAGTATCTCGGTCTGTCTGCTGGGATGTTGTGGCCCGTTCAGCCTGGGTTGGTCTTGACAGGCAGGGTTGGAAACTTAAGCTCGCCTCCTAAATGATCTAAAGTGTGTTGATGGGGGCGTTAAAAACACCTACATTTGAACCCC